TTGCTGATCATCACAAAATGTTTGGACTAGAAAATACAAAAAAACAGCAAACCACAAAATCTGCAGAGCCGCCCATGGAAATAAAATGCACTAAATAACGTTGAAATCTCTACCTGAAAGACTAACTTCTTTGTGATAAGATATAATAACAATTTCAATCATGAAGCAGTAAGCGCAAATTTCCACCCCTCAGCAACCATTTTTGACTATATACCTTTTATATAGTTATTAGATTAAAAACAATTTCTAGAGAGGATAGCCAGAAGTAAGCAATGACACAAACACACCTTCAATTAACAGATATAAATTGCACACCATGCCCTGAACTTTGCATTTTTGAGGCAAATGAAAGAGCAAGTGATCTTACTAGACCTATGGGAGAGCTCATTTGCAATGCATGTTAAGAATTGCCATGGAAGAGAAGGGGATAGATTATGAGTCCAAGCAAGAGGACTTTTTTGACAAGAGCCGTCTACTTCTAGAGATGAACCCAATACACAAAAAAGTACCAGTTTTGGTTCACAATGGAAGACCCATTTGTGAATTGCTCATCATTCTCCAGTACATGGATGAAGTTTGGGATCATAAAGCACCTCTGCTTCCCAGTGATCCTTATCAGCAATCACAGGCCGGGTTCCGGCCTAACTACTCTGATAAAAAAGTGATTTCTCTATCTATTAGTGGCAATCAATAACCATAAATATTCTTCTTACATAAGTTTCTTACACCTGACACTGCAGATATATGAGACGGGGAGAAGGATATGTACAGCAAAACAGGACCAGGAGGAAGCAAAGAAGCAGTTCATAGGATGCCTGGAAACATTGGAAGGAGAGCTTGGAAACAAGTTCTACTTCGGAGGAGAGAGCTCCAGGCTTGTGGATGTGGTACTGTTGCCATATACCAGCTGGTTTTACACATATGAGACCTTTGGGAATTTCAAGATAGAGGAAAAGTGCCCCAAGATTATTGCATGGGCCAACAGATGCAAAGAAAGAAAGTCTGTCTCAAAAAATCTTGCTGATCTTCAGAAGATATATGACTTTATGTTGCAGTACCAGAGGAGGACTAGGGTAGTGTAAACAATCAACCACAAAAACTGCAGATCTATCTATCAAAACAAAATGCACCAAATATAAAGTTTTCTTTTTGCTATTCCCCTGTATGATTAAACCATCCAGCATGTTACTGCTAAATTCCACTGAAAACAGTAGAATATGTATTAACAGCACATACGAAATAAATGAAACATAACTTTTGTAGATTTCATCAGTGATTCTAATCTCCTTGTATTCCATATGGAAAAAAAAAGAAGTACATTTTTAATCCTAGACTAGACTAGTAGCTTTGTGCTTACAACAAATATTTTATTAAATTTTATGAAATTAACTTGTATATCCATAACATGGTGTGTTTTAAACAAAAGGAAATTGTTAATCTCAAATCCACAATATAGTCAATGAAGCAATTGGCTTAGCTTGGTAATAAGGCAGAAGCCCTAAAACTTTGAGGTTCAGGTTTAATTTAACTTTATGATGGTTTTGTGCTGTTTGTAATTTGGTTTAGCTATTGATTAATGCAGTGATTGGTGGATATATATTTAGATGTGATATGAATTGTAATTTGTACCCATAAAAAAAATTCCACAATATAAATATTTTAATTTAATTATAACTAACTAAATTGCTATTAAAATTGAAAGAAACTAAAAAAAAATCCTACAAGTGTTTTAGATCACTAAAATATCCTTCAAGTTAACTACCTCTCCTATTATTATTAACTTCAAAACTTTTATTCTAGGGTCAAGGTTAGAGGTTTGAAGTTGAACCCCAGTAATGCTAGGCAGTAGGCACCAACTTTTTTTGCCAAGCAAAAAAAGAATCTTCTGAGAAAAGGAAACACCCAAAAAATGTATTAAAGATGAATATTTGACCAAAAGTGACAAAAGAAATGCAATTACAACAAAAGCAAGGAGAACATAGATGTCCTTGTTGACACAAAATGGCAAATAGGAGCAAATAATAATTAAAACAGTGCAACAGAAACTACCATTAGATTACACTCATGGACATTATTTGACGAGCAAGGCCTGGATCCTGCTGCAGTAACTCCCTCATATTGTTCTCAACTTCAGCTATCTGCTTTTCCAAATATTCCTTTGATGTCTGTTGCAGGTTAAAGAAATTAGCCTCTCTAACAAGAAGGAATTAAACTTTATAATACTATTTCATGATCTAATCTAAACCAAAAAACACTAACTTCAAGTAAGAGGATAAATGGGAACAGAAGGGCCAAAACTCTAATCAGGAAAATTTTAGCTTAGTTTGCTCCTTTACATCCCTTAAACTACCTGCAATCTGGCATACAATGCACCATAGGAAGCACATTCTTTAAATATTATTTTGGAGGCCTGGTTATAACCACCTCCATATAGCCACTTAATACCATCTAAGGTTCTGTACTTTGTCATTATCATAAATAAGTTTAGAGACTCTAGTAGACATTCCATACAAAAAATTCTGTTAAAACACATGGGACACATGCATCATCATCATCTGCATCATCATCACATTTCTAGATATACTTATCCTATTCACTCTAGAGTTAAAGAAAAAATCAGCATGAGAGATAGAATGTTAAGGAAGGGGGCAGGGGCAGGGGCAGGAGCAGGGGCAGGGTCAATGCAAGGTTAGAGTGAAGAAAGAGAAGCAAAAGAGATGGAGAAGAGTAAAGAATTATAGGCAGAAGAAAAATTAAAGACCATTCAACATTAGTAGGGGTGTAGGTTTTCAAGAAGATTGTAGGCGAGTGTTATCATGAAGTATCCTCAAGGGGATTTGATATTTACTCCAAAGTAAACAAACAAAAATAGACAACGTATAGAATAATACCTAGAAGCTATATAACTCAAAGAGGAAATTAAAGTTTAGAAAATATGATATACAAGAATGAAATCTAAAGAAAAAAGGAGAGAACATGTATAGATGGCTTTACACAGAGGAAGAAAGGAAATACCTGTAACGATGCAATTGCAGACTCACTATCCTTCTGCTTCTGCTCCTGCTCACTCATTAAAGCTGATTTAGGCTCTAAAACAAACCTGTGTAGCAGACAAGAGATGCAAAAGCAAAATCTCATCAGTTGACATCACATATTCCCTGAAGGCAATGAATCATGATTGGCTCTCATTTAGATTATCCAAAACTTACGTTCGTCCTGCAAAACAGTATAATAACAGAAATCAAACACGATCAATTAGTATTCCTGTAAAAACATCCCCTCCAAATAGAAGACTAAATGGCCTTGTCATAATATAGCACAATTGGCATATGTAACTATGGTCCTGCCTATTTGAAATCAAAAGCTTATCTGTAATACCTATAGATTTGTATGTATTGGTATCATCAGACAATTGGCATAGCTCTTCCAAGGTTAGAAAAGCACGCTTCTTTTCACCTTCTTTGTTTCGCATCTGGTTTTGCACCTGAAAGCCACAGAATTCACTTAATTTCGTTAAAAGGTAAAATATATTTCCATTAGTCTTTCAAACACTTGCTTCAATCTTTCACACAGCATAAATAGTATTGATTGCCTCAAATAGATTAACATAGTTTTGGACTGATATTTGATTCATGATTTGTTAAAAAGGAAACCAAACGGGTAACTCACACTTCCTCATATAATAAAGGGCTGTTTTTGGGTTGGGAAAAAATCCAGGCACCTAGCCTTTACCAATCCAAACTCGAATTTTGAGAGAAAAAACCAACAGTACATGCATGAGCATGAATCAAAGCAGCACAGGTAAGTTAAAAGCAAAGAAATTGGATCCAACCCATTGGCTACAGAGACCTAATAATACCAAACTCACATCAAAGATCAAGTTTTGACAACTTAGTTATAGAAAAAACAGTATAATAACTAAAAAACCGACCTGTTTCAACTTGCCAGTGAGCTCAATCATGCGACCTTGAATCTCTAGAAATGCCTGCTTTCAAACACCCACGAAGAGAAAACAAATAAGTTTACAACTTTAGGTTATTAAGTTTACACCCAAAAGAAAAAATGCAAAAACATGATTCTTACAGTTCTGTTAGCTTCGTCAGCCATTGTAGAAGATCAGAGCTGAAGATATCGAGACCGAATGGAAAGGTTTTGAGGGTTTGAACGGAACGATTTGGAAGGATTGTGTTCGGGTCTTGGTTAACAGCCGGATCCGAGTCGGAATGGAATAGAGAACCTTAAAAAGGAATAAGTATAAAGATAGTCATTAAACTCTAAGAGAAGTTCAACGTAGTTCTTCAACTTTTAATCCCAATAAACAAGGCCCTGGGTGGTGCCCATGTATAATAAGTTACTGCCTATATGGACAATAATAGGGCCTTTTTTTTTTTTTTTGGTTTATTAGTAAAAGGACAAAAGAAATGCTAGCTTGCATTTTTACTGTTAAAAAAATTAAAAAATAAAAATAAAAAGAGAGAATTAATGGAAAAATGCATAAAACAATCCTCAAAAAACAAATAAGACACAAAACATACTTGCAAATCAAACCATGCGGTGTTAGCCACCATCTTGGTGCACCTCTAATTAGTGCAGGCAATGTTATGAGAACAACAACAATTAATTAATATATTTTATTTAAAATCAAATTTATGATTAAATTTTAGATAACCAAACAAACTATGGTTGATTATTAATGTGCAAATGTATATTTCTTTCATTATAGGAATATAATTGGTATCTTTCCTAATAAGTTTTGGGTTGAAACTCAATCCTTCACAATCATGACAATCATTTATTTACATGTTAGATAAAAATAACAATGTTATAATTATAATATTCTGTAAGATATGTAAATTTATAATTTTATGTAGCATTAATGAAATATGATGTGAAATTAAACAAGTTGATACATATAATATCATGAATAAACTTCTTAACAAAAAGAGTTAATTATATAATTATATATAATATTGTAAACTACACATCATATTATAGTTTAGAATATTACGTGATATTGTAATTATAACATTTTTAAATAAAAAAATTTAAAATTAATTCATTTTTTTTCAACTCTCTTGAAAGATATTATAATTATTATTATCACTCTCATAATGACACGATGACAACTTCCATGAGTATGCTAAATGTTATTCCACTTCCTAAATGACTAGTCTAATTCAGAAGATGATTGATTTTAATATCGGCATCCGGTGACTTAATTGATATAAATTATTAGTTTGAGACCAACTTGCAATGAAATACATAATACAGTATAATTTAGCACCAAAAAATAAAAATCCAAGAGGACAGCTTGGCTTCGGTAAATAAAATGATTCTTCCATTAAAGAAAAAAGGGCGGGGGGAAGGCGCGGGGGTTGTCCCGCTTGCCTTGGCGTTCTTCGCGGCTGCTCGTCGATGGAAACGAAAACCAAAAGCCAATCATTTCTTTCTCTCTCCAGAACCATCTTTCTCTCTCCAATACATTCTCCATCTCCATTCCGCTTATTCCCTTTAATCCTATGCTTTTATTCACTTTATCCTTTTTCTTTGTGATGGGTATTCGTTGATTTCTCTTTTCTTGGAATTTCCGACTACCCATCTCAGATAAAGCTCTACCCCGATCGGATCCGGATCCCATTTCTCAATACATTGACTTTATTTTCTGTTTTGTGATGAAGTAACAAGATTCCAATTTGGGTGCCAAAATGTGCAATGTAAGTGTTGATTAGGAGAAAAATGTCAATTGCGAGGTAAATTTGGGTTCGGGTTCGGACGGTGGGTTGGATTCATGGGTGTCTGCTTTAGCGGCGAATCAAAGCTGCAGGAGCAGGATCAGCAGCAGCAACAGCAGAAACATATGCGCCATGTTAAGAGCCATTCAGGTTTTATTATTCTCCCTTATGCTTTTTTTTTTTTTTTCCCTTTTTGTTATATTGTTTATGGGTGTAAAGCTTTTGGCTTTTGTTTATTTGGGTTTGATTTTTATGTTGTTTCCATGGTTGAGGATTATATATTTTTGCATTTGCTGGTGTAATGCAGGCATTTGTTCTTGAGTTTTTGGTCATATGTAACCTTTGTCTGAAAATGATTCTTTCTTATGTACAGTTTCAGGTGTTGGGCTAGATGGCACTCCAGACAAACTAGATAGGCAGAACTCACCCAATCTCAAAACTCCAAACAGTGCTCCATTGGCTGTAAGGGATGTCAAAGATCTTCGCCAGAATCCTGGATATGGCAATGTTGATATCTTTACATATGAAGAAATGAGGTTGGCAACAAAACAATTCCGGCCCGATTTTATCCTTGGGGAGGGTGGGTTTGGAGTTGTTTATAGAGGAGTCATAGATGAGAATGTGAAGCCTAGTTATAAGTACACAGCAGTAGCCATTAAGGAGCTTAATCCTGATGGGTTCCAAGGTGACAGAGAATGGCTGGTATTTACCTTAACTTTCTTTCCTCGTGCATATATGATATATTGTTTATGTTCTCCTAATGATTTCTTTTCTTTTCTTTTCTTTTTCCTGTATCCACATATATGGATAAACCATGAAACTAAAGAAAGCATTCAGTACATTTAAATTTTTTTTTCTTTGAATGGAGAAAAGTGGACATTTTATGCTGCTTTTTCTGTTACAATTTGGACAATGAACTTTAAAATAATTTGGAATGTGGAGTTGTACTCTTCACTTTGTCTTATCCTGTGGATATGTAGTTTCACCAACTATGGACTGCATTTAATTTCTTTTTCGGGCTAGCTTAGGCTTTGTAAGAGTATTTGCTTACATGCAATAGTATATAAGGCAAAAGCACAAGTAAGACAATTTGGAATTCAGTAAAAAAAAAAAAAAAAAAAAAAATACTGTTTCACCTAATTTATCATGTATCTTCTGCCTCAAAATTTTAGAGAAAGATTTTAATTAAAAACTTTGAGGTTGGGAGACATTTCTTCTATTGCTTATTGATGCCTCTATTTCTCCACAAACATTCGGTCATCCGGAAAAGGGGAAAGTGAGAAATCTGTAATTAGATGTTTACTTGTCTTTTCTTTTCTTCCTTTGTCTGTACAGTTTTGAGTCAAGAGGCATTGTCTATTTTGCAGGCTGAAGTGAACTATCTTGGGCAGCTTAGTCACCCAAACCTTGTGAAGCTTATTGGATACTGCTGTGAGGATGACCATAGACTGTTGGTCTATGAATACATGGCAAGTGGGAGCTTGGAAAAGCACCTTTTCCGAAGTAAGTTAAAAATATAGAATAGTGATATTAAGTTTTCGATTCATTGACAGAGAATCATATAATAACCTTCACATTTTGGTGTATCATCAATGCCTTGAGAAGATGCAGAGACCGGAGAAAGTCAAACATATGGAAGCTATACCCTGCTGAAAATATTTGTAAATTATTATCATCAGAGAAAGTTTTGCCTTTTTGTCCAAATCATGCACTAGAGGGATTTTACTTATCCTCTTTATTCTTGGCTGCTAGGAGTTGGTAACACTCTGACATGGTCAAAAAGGATGAAGATTGCTTTACATGCTGCAAGAGGACTTGCTGTTCTTCATGGTGCAGAAAGATCTATCATATATCGTGACTTCAAAACATCAAATATCTTGCTGGATAGGGTTAGTGTTTTTTGTCGGGTGTTTGTTGTGTGCAGCTTATACATTCATCAAGTACCTGACCTCATTTAAGGAGCTTTTCAGGTGGAAATTCTAGGAACCTGAAACTTATCATCTAGTGATTTTAATACATTTAAACCTTGAGTTAAAACTTTAGTTTCAACATAGTCCCTAAGAGACACAAAGACAAAAGCTTTACAAAACTATTGCTACTAGCCTTTTCAGTTAAAATGATGCCAACTCTTTCAAGTTTATATGCAATTAAGTTTTCTCTCTTGTGGTAGCTTGTTTAGTTTCCATTGCTAAGAAGTTAAAATAACATGTAGGATTTCAATGCAAAACTCTCGGACTTTGGTCTTGCAAAGGATGGACCCATGGGAGACCAGACCCATGTTTCAACACGAGTGATGGGCACATATGGATATGCTGCTCCTGAATATGTGATGACTGGTTAGTAATTAATTCTCCATTCTACTTGGTTATTCTGTTTTCAGAGAATCTGAAGTATTCATTATTGCCAAATAAGTAAAGCTGATCTATCTTTAGTATTGGTGGTAGGACCTTTACCCTCATTCATGTTTACTGCAAATAACATTCTGTTAGTTGAAGATTAAAAGTAAAATCTTGTTATTTTCTATTTCCCTTCTATGGAATCAAATATTAAATCTGAAGACCATTCTAGATTATGGGGTTTTTGGTTTTAGCTTTTAGGTAACAGCTATCAGCCGACAATTATATAGAGCTATTAGCTGTATTCAGACTAAAGTATCATATGAAGGTCAGACAAGGTTCCAGAGGGGAGAATCAATAGAATGAATAAAACTTCTTGGAATCAATCCTGTCCCATTCTTTAGTAAGCAGATATTGGGTTGAATTGTAATGAGCATTGTAAACTAGTACTAGAGGCAATAATTGTTTTACTAAGTTGCAGTATTGATACGAGCAGGCCATTTAACAGCAAGAAGTGATGTTTATGGTTTTGGGGTAGTGCTACTTGAGATGCTTCTTGGAAGGAGAGCCATGGACAAGAGCAGACCTAGCCGAGAACATAACCTGGTTGAATGGGCTCGTCCACTTTTAAACAATAATAAGAAGCTTCTGAGAATCTTAGACCCTAGAATGGATGGGCAGTACACAGCTAAAGCTGCAATGAAGGTGGGCAATTTGGCGTTCCAATGCCTTAGCCAAAACCCCAAGGGGAGACCCCTTATGAACCAGGTGGTTGAATTACTCGAGACATTTCAAACAAACGAAAGGCTTGAAGAGGCAACGCTTCTGGCTGGTGGTAGTATTACCCTTTATGAAGCCCCAAATAGGTCTCCAAATACTTCAGAAAAGAAAAGAAACCCAACCAGAAGTGGAAGTAACAAAGAAGAGGCTCAGAGGACGAGGCCTCCAGATGTAAGGAGTAAGAGTGAGCCCCCAGCAGATTTTGATCTTAATGATTCTCCTAATTTTCAGCCTGATCAGCAACCTAAACCAACCAGGGCTTAGAGTTGTAGCGGGGACTGTCAAGGCAGTTCTGTCTATTTGGTATCCCAGATGCTACATAGTACATACAGTTTCCTCCCACAGGGCAACATGGGGGTATGTTCAAAGCTTTTTGCAGCCGTTCAATTTTACTGCACCTATCTTTGCAAGTTTTCAAGTGCACCAGCAACCTGCACATACCCAATATTCTCGTTTTCTATCAGCTTTTCCCGTCTCAAAATTGAGAAGAGGAGCTGGTAAACAGCATATTGTATCATCTGGGCCGTGTATAATTTTGAAGGCATATTTAAGTTGAGTTGTAATCAGGTTTACTTTTAGATTTGTTGATTTATGTGTTGTAATGGACTTTCTTATTCTTTTATTAATGCTTTCATGGTTTTCTTTTTTTTTTTTTTTTTTGGGGGGGGGGGGGGGGTGTGGTATAAAATGTACAATTATAAGTACTAACTTGTAGAAAAATTTGATGACCAAATTTAAACCGAAACATTATAGGTTATCAAAAACATTTTCAGAATAATATTTCCAAGGACATTTTTCCTGTAGAAAAACAATGTGGGATTCATATAAGAATACTCATTCAAGCTTAAACTAAAATGTAATGAAACATGGTAATACTCAAGCAGGAAACTTCATCCTCATCTCAACAAGCTCAAAATGTGATACTGGATGCAAAGGATGGAATTCTGTCAACAGCACTAAGTCGGCACGAACATTCAAGTCATTAGAAAAGACGAGATACCTAGAAAAAGAAAGAAATTACAAAGACGAGTTCATAAAAGAGTTCGGATTAATAACCATGCTCCTTTGAAGTGCCACTATTGAAATGGCCTATGGTATACAATTCACAATCACACTTTCTCCCTGATGTGGGATTGAAGGCATCACAATTTTGCTCTTCAATTGGTTTTATAAGTGCATTAATCTCGTATTTGCTGCATTGGAGACACGCTTTTCACCTTATGATGATCAGGAGCATTTTCCTGTAAAAATAAATTACAAAATTGAAAAATATGAGTAAAAAAAATATGTGAAGAGCATAGTGCCAAAAAGTTCCTTACCCCATACTTGGTGTAACTTCATTGCCAGTTGAGTGACTGATCTTCCTTCTGCAGGGTTAGAAAATTCCATGTTCATAGCCTCTTGAATTGCAGATAACAATTCTCTTCTTGCATTTGGTGGGAGAATAAGGTGATTTGATCCATGGGCTGTGCTCAATTCAACCACCTGAAATGAGTAGGTTTTATAGAGGTTGCTTGATAACATGGAAATCTTTATGAGATCAAATATGCCATAAATATCTTAGAGGTCTCTGGATCTGCTTAAATATTTCAAATTACAAACAAGGACATTAAAAAGCTGTAACCAGGAAAAAAAAATTTTTATCGACAGTTGTGACCAGAAATTAAAGGTGTTCAGAACGGGTGACAAGGAGTGCATTTTGCCCCTAAGAACTGATCAGACAATGAATGAATTATGATATAGCTAGTGTCTCTAATTTCAACTACTACCACAGAAGACAGTATCTCCCCAATGTAGACTGAAATAACATGCATATATAAGTTGTGAATGCCAAAAATTCAGACCAAATGCTAAAAGAGATTGGGTAACTTGCCTGCTGCAACCAAGGAATTATAGAGTTCATAAATCTCTGCTCAAGGAGGTATGATGCCAATGTACTGAGAATATCACAGATGGTCTTGTGGGATAAACTTTCTATAACAGGACCAGTTCTATCAAGAAGCTCAATCAGAACAAGTTCATTACTAGAAGAAAGAGCTTCTGTATATGCAGAGTCTAGGTCCCCTTCACATAAAAAACCTTTCACATTTTGCCACAGGCCATTTTTGTTGCCTGGCCTATTTTGTCTGCTGCTGTTTGTACTTGAGAGTGGGACACACGCAGAAGCAGGGGCAGCTTCATTTTTCCTTACATGGCCCATGGTTTGAGTTCCCCGTCCAGAGCTCTTCTGAACTTCCTTTTCTAGAGGATTTCTACCAACCTTCACAGCTTGATTAGTCCACACATTCTTACTCTGTTTAGTGGAATTGCTAAAGTTGCTCCTACTAAGCATTTTTTCTTCCCAAATATCAGAACTTTTTACGGAAAGCAAAGAATGCTGTCTGTTACGAATATCTACTGAGGGCCTAGGAGTGGACGTAGAGAGTCTGGGAGAAACACCTTGGCTTTGCTTCATGAGCTTGGAGCCTAACAGATCAGAATACCTTCCACCATGCACAAGGTCTTGAGCTATTCCTTCCACAACATGCTCCAAACTTAACACCTTTGACTGTAGCATTGACAAGCTATCCATTATTCCCCTTGAAAACTCCTGTAAAAGTAAAATAATCCATAACAGAATTAAATGGTATGGAGACATAACAATATCCCAGGATGGATTTAAAGGATGCAAGTTATCAAGCAATCACTCTGGGTAAAATTATTTTTCCGTGCTTAGTAGCAGGGAATCAAAGAACTTTAGAATCAGGAAAGTAAGAAGATGAGAAGTGATCAAGGGATTAATTTCGTAACAGGAAACAAGCAAGTAGCAAAAAGGAATACCATAACATGGAATGGAAGTGTGTGTTTTATATTATAGCACTGGACTGGACTAGAATTCTAAACAAAGAGCAAAAGATAACATCATAATAACAACATAAATTATAGAATCAGGAATACTATAATATTTACCTGGAGAAGATCCACTAGGTTTGATTGCTTGTTTTCAATCTCCATTAGTTGTTTTCTAATGCAAACCATTTCATTTGCCACCTGTGAGCAACATCCATTTGCACAACTAGACTCCGTTACTGTAGAATCAAGACTTCTCCTATCATGCAACTTTGTAGAGTATACTTCTTCATCCTCATGAGTAATCTCTTCAGATGCAAACCTCTGATTTCTTACCATGGGCTTCTGAGAACTTCCCTTCTCCAGATGATCAGGAGAAACAGCCACAGTGTTTGTCTGGAAGTCAGTAACAAGGTTGGAGACAGATGAACATTCTTGTTTGTCATCCATTGGAACAAACTCATAACCAATATCGTGTATGCTTGTAACAGTTGCCATTCTTTCTAATGTCTTGGTGACAGAACTACCTTCAGATTCTTCATCGTGAGGATCTGCCAAAGAAACACCATGGGTTTTTGGAATAGCAATTTCAAAGTGCCAATCATCTTCTTTAGAATTTTGAGGATCTTCCACATAATTTCTCGATGTTTTTCTAGCAGACAAAGGTTTCCTTCCAATAGCTGAGTTCATAACGGCTTTCTTTCGTGTGACATTCTTCCATCCAGAGTCACCATTGCTGGTGAGATCACTATAATCACCGGCATAAGAATTTTCTGTAGAAAGTAAAAATAAGCTGACAGGAACTGAAGAAGATAGAGGCCTTAGAAGATCAGGAGCATGCATGAAGGGTATGCAAATATTGCAATAAGCCAGTAACAAAGGGGATGTGAAATTATTTAGAAAAACAAGTGTTACCAGGAATTATTAGCTGTTCAGTTACATGGTGGCTAACTAACATGAAATATCAGGAGTTTATATATGCACAAAGGTGGTTCAGACTTCAAATTAACACGTGGTTCTGAAGTTCACTAAAAAATGTAAATAAATATTATAACCAGCCACTAAACCTTTTATGGAAGATCCAGTTTCAGAAGGTTCAGGAGTATCAGGCCCTGGAAGACTTCTCCAGTACTGTAGGGCCAGCAGTACTGTTTCCCTGACTGGTTTCACCTATGAGAAATAAGATAAAAATCTGGTCCAATTATTCTTATCTCTTAAGCAAATCCAAAGGTGAATCATTAATAAACATTAACCTTGTCAAAACGACACGATTCAAGGGAACGAATACAGGATGCCTTGAATGATTCTAGAAAAGATGCACCACTTGAAGCAATTTCTCCTAAAGCTACAGAAGCAGCTTTCCGTGTTGTCCAGTCATTATTTTTAAGAGCTTCTTGGATGCTAGCAATTGCTGCAGCCAGAACACCAAGTGTTGTGGCACCCCCTGCCTGAAGTAAAGATTAAGAGGGTGAATCTCCTCATAATCTAGAAAAGAAGGGAGAGAGGGAGGAGGAGCAGGGAAGGCAACTTTCCCTCAAACAAGCTGCAGAATTATATCATTAAAAGATTCATCTGAAATCATCATATTTGGAGAAGATATGAACAGCAACAGATTATAACATATAACTAAGTGTATAGTTTCTTGTCAAACTTTATCCTAACAGTAGCACTATTTAGACACTATGTATAAAAGTGCCTCCTTTTATGTTTAATTGAAATACTATTTATGTGCAAACAAAATAGAGTGGACAAATAACCAAAATACATAAGAAGAGTCCTTGAATATCCAGTTAAAGATACAGAATTTGCAATACATATCACAGATCCTGCAGAACAAGGTCCCAAACAACAGGGAATCTATAGGAAAGATAGAAACTAACCTGAATAATACTTCTGTTTAACTCAATTACTGCTGGTTTTGCCATGAAGTGTGGATTCTTGAGCAGCTTTATTGTGCGAGTCAACATCCGTTGCAAAATTGATGATGGAGGATCATGGATGTTATCAATGATGCTTGCAAGACACAGAGCTGCACCTGATTGTACCTGCTTATATTGCTCACCAAGAGCTTCAAAAAGTGGCTTCACCAACACAACAAAAACCCCATTACTGTCATCTTCGCAATTACTTAATTTTGATGCCAAAACACCCATTGTTTCAACACAAGAATCCCTCACAATGGTATCTGGGTCCTTGAGCCTCTTAACAATGCTAGTGACCATCTTACCTAGATATGGACCGACAAGGCCCTCATGAAATCTAGCTAAAGTACCCATCAACCTGATGCATTCCTTTCGAACTGCACTTTTCTGTTCTGAATCAGTGTCCAATATACAAGACAAGAATGGGGAAATCTTATCTGGGGTTAAACATTCAGCTGTTTTGTCAAGCTCATCAACCCCTATTTGATAAGTATCTCTATCTGCTAACTTAATCAGTGCAAGATTGACCTTCTGTTTTAGCTCAAAAACAACCTGTTGGCTATTGACCTTAGAGGGACCTTTTCCTCTGACATGTGCCTGCGCCTTCATCATGGTGGTTGTTATGCTTATGCACCTTCAGACGAAATTCTAAGTCCTAAATCCTAAAACAACTCCTAACTTTACAAAAATTGTTACCCCTCAAATCTCACATCCTCAGTTAAAGAAGTATCAAAAGCTCCACTAAAGATAGTAACAAAACTTGAAACTCCAAGTAACATGAAAGCAATGAATCATCTCGCTCTTCATGATAAAACCCTACAAAATCACAAATAAGGATTCACAGAGAAACAAGTTAAAGTATTCCATTAATTTTTTTTCCTCAAAAAAAAAAAAAGAAATTCAAGGTTCCAGAATTTAAATAATAAAGCCTAAAAATAGCAGTTAGCTGAACTTAAAACCAGAAGGACACATTCTCCATCATTTTCTCTTTCTTTTCTAAGATTTCTCAGGAAACAAACACAGACTTAGCTCGATTTTCTTGCCACACCAACACAAAATGCCAAAGAGAGATAGAGAGAGAGAGAGAGAAATGCAGGTGTTCTAACAACAAAGAAGCATTGACATCCTATGGCTCATAACTCAGCTAGATTGCGAAGACAATGCAGGAAAAATTATGCGTGTTTCTCCTTCTTTCCTCCGTTTTCTCGGCAACCAAACAGTAAATCAACTGAAAAAAGTTTCTCAAATGAACGGAAGGGTGGGTTAAGACTTACCCGAGGCAGCTGCGGTGAAAGAGTGAGACAGAGAGAAACTGAGAAAATAGAAATGGAAACAAAAATACTTAAATTGAAAACCGAAAAGAGGGATTCAAAATAAATAAATAAATAAAATAACAAGGGAACGAATCTCAGAGTTGAAAGAAAGCTTCCCTCTTAACATCGTTTTGTTTTTCCCTTTTTTATAAAAAAAAAAAAAAGAGTTTTTTTTTTTCAAGAAACAGATTTCAAGAAAATCTTATCAGTGCTTTCTCCTTCCTTTTGAGTTTTGTTTATTGTGTGGTGTCGTTTTGGGGGCTCTTGCTTTAGTTTTCGCGCTCAGTTCTATGTTTCGAATTTGGGGAGCGTTTTCGGCTATCAATCCCCTGTCCCAGCCGTTGGATTGATGCCACGTGGGGAATCGAAGGCATATTCCTAGTTAAATTTTCAATTTTCTTTCTTCTTTTTTTAATGTTCTAATCAATTTTCTGAACCATGCATAGGCCCAATTTCCGTTGAAAAAGAGTTCAGCCCACTTTAACTTTGATAGCCCAACCCATTAATAAAACATACCATTTTTTTTTATTATTGGATTTTTCTAACATGTAAACACAATTATACAAGTTAAAAGTATAATTATTATATTTTTTTCATTAATTATTATTAAAATATAAAACTTAATCTTATTTAAATAATTATCTAATTAAAATGAATTAATGATGAAATCAATAACAATTTTTTTATTTTTTAATAATAATTAATATAAAAAATATAATAATTATATTGTTAATATATACCTTAAGGTACAAATTAAAGAGAACCTTTTTTTATCATCTTGGATTGCTTCTTCCACCCTTTTTTTTTTTTTTTCATTTTTTAGACTCATATCATCCACATATGATTAGATTTCAGTACTCCCTCTATTGAAAAAATAAGGAGATTTTCAGCAGAACTGGGGCTACTTAATTTCAGTACCATTTGATTTCAACCCAACACTGGTTGAGTCCCCTCTTATGTCTGGTTAATTTAACAATCATCAAGACGTCTTTTCCGGTTTTCGAAGTTGAAGGACTAGACTACATCAATTTTTAAGAGTTGTTTCATCAAGTTTCGAAGTTTAACAAATTAGATTGCGTAAAATAAAAGTTAAAGGACTGCCTTGCATTCTCAGCCTAAGTGCAATGATAAAAGCATGTTTGGATGAAACTTGTGAATACTTTTAA